AGCAGCCGGGGGGCCTGTTCCTGTGCGGTACAAAGCCCCGGCTCACCGAGGCTTCGAGTGTACGCGTCGTATAAGAGTGGGAGGTCACCGGTGACGTTATTATTTCATACTTAAGACCTTGTGGGAATATTTTCTTGAAATGCTGACGTGGGATCTGTTGACTTCGCAGGTCAGAATGGCATCGGATGAGGGAAAGCTCTTTGTCGGTGGACTGAGCTTTGACACCAATGAGCAGTCATTGGAACAAGTCTTCTCTAAATACGGGCAGATCTCTGAAGGTAAGGTTGCAGTGCCGAGCTGGGAGGATTGCCCGTGAATCTGTTAGATTGTGCAGGTGCTGATCCCTTTTTTTTTTCCCCCCCTTTTATAGTTGTTGTGGTCAAAGACAGAGAGACTCAGAGATCCAGAGGTTTTGGCTTTGTTACTTTTGAAAACATAGATGATGCAAAAGATGCGATGATGGCCATGAATGGAAAGGTAAGGAGGGTTTGAAGCAGCTTCTTTATTTCCTCAAACATAGTAAGAGAAGCATGAAAGGTGTGCTTCTGTTCGATGCGGTGTAGAAAAACAGATAAATACTGGTGATTTAAAACAAAACTGTATAAATAATGAGTATAACTTGTAAAGTTCTACGATTTAACCTATGTAACTGAAAAATAGCGATGCCTTGTAGGAATACCTGTACCTGCTGTTGGAACCTCAATTTACTTGCATAGTTGGTTTAGTTGCAACATGGAATGAGACCTTTTGTTTGTAAGAGCTAGTAAATTCTCGTACTGCTTAACTGACAGCGAAGGTGTGTAACTCACTATGTGTGTGCTTTGCTATTTAAATGTTTAAAGCTGGTTTATTCTGTCTTAGTCTGTAGATGGACGTCAGATCAGAGTTGATCAAGCTGGAAAATCATCAGAGAACAGATCTCGTGGCTACAGAGGGGGGTCTTCTGGGGGCAGAGGCTTTTTCCGTGGCGGCAGAGGTCGGGGCCGTGGCTTCTCTAGAGGTGAGCGTGCGTGGCTGACTGTGCGGTGCTCGAGGCGGTAACGGCGTTGGTTGGAATGCTTAAAAACCCCGTGCTCCGGTGTCTGTTCAAGGGGGTGGAGACAGAGGCTATGGCGGCAGCAGATTTGATTCCAGAAGTGGAGGGTATAACGGCTCCAGAGACTACTATAATAGCAGGTACAGTCATCGCCGCCACTAGGGGGTTGTTGCAAAGCCCTTCCAGCCCGTTGCCTGTTGGACGTAAGCGCCAGCGGGCTCCAGGAGGAGTGGAGCAAATCTAAAGCACACGCCTGTTTTTAACAGCAGGAGTCAAGGGGGCTATGGCGACAGGAATTCAGGAGGATCCTACAGAGACAGCTATGACAGTTACGGTAAGTCGTGGTTCAAATGGGAGCGCTCAGTACGTGTGCCGTAGGGACTCTAAACCTGCTGACCCTGTCCTCGAGTCTGGAAGTCCTGTAAGGCCCAGCTGGGCTGTGCTGCTATTGCCGTTCTTGCCCGTAAGAACCAACCTGCCAGGCTTCGGACGTGGTTGTGCCGTTAAAAGTTTCTAATTTGTAATGCATGTGTAGGAGTTGCTTGGATCTAAGGCAGAGCAAGTGTTTAAAATACGTTCCTCGAGCTTGAGACTAAGACCAAACTCGGATGCCCTAACAAACTTAATCAAGGGTGGGGGAGTTCTCTTACGGTGTAGCAAACTAGCACTAGCTTCTGAAATAATGCAAGGGAGTAAAATGCTGGAACTTGTCTATGCTTCAGTGCCTTTACAATTGTGCCTGCTTCTTGTCCTCAGCTACACACAACGAGTAAAAATCCTTCCTGACTCAAGATCGTCCTTCCAATGGCTGTATTTATAAAGATTTTTGGAGCTTCGCTGAAATCGTTATTGTGTAGTACATCTACTTGTATTTTCACTTTTGTAGTATTATCAGTTCTAATCTTGTCAAACACAGCCTGACAGCTTCTGATACAAGATGGTCTAATTAGACTTTTCTTTAAGAAAGCTCTGCTTTCAAGTGTTTTTAATCTTTTTTGAAAGCACTTCAGATTTTATTTTATCCTTCATGATGAGCCAAGGTGTTTTTTTTTAAAGTTGTGAAGTTGGGGCCCCAATTCAGTTTCTTTTGAGATAGAAAGGACCTTTAATTCAATGTTCACTGGAAGCTGAACAAGCTGTGGACTTTTTTTTTAAGTGCATTACCTTCGTCTTTTGTAACATTCCTTTAGTGTAGCAAGGTAGGAATGCAGCCTGGGTACAAATTGGAAGGCAAACCACCTTGATATATCTAAAGAGAAACTTGCTTGTATGTTCAACCCGCATAACGGTATTTTTACTGTTGTAATGATGTAAATTACCCAGAAATAGACTTGCAAACTTACCATAAAAGAGGTTCTTGAAAATGTTTATTTATATTGTCCTTTTTTACTGGAAGAAATATGCATATTCCATTGATATTGTATTTGAAGTGGTAAAGGATTCTTGTATACAGTTTTCTTTGGCTTTACGAAGCCTATTAAAAGACCGTCTGAAATGAACTCTGCTCCTGACATTTACATTTCATTGCACAACACAATCCTTGAAGATGAAGAACAGTCTAAGTGATAGAGGATGCCAGAGGCGAGGAGAAGACTAGCGATAGTCTAAGAGCAAGCCAAATTTACTGACCAGGTGCTAGAATTTAATCTGAATCGGTCTTGACATGTGAATTCGTCGACATACTTGCACATAAGAACAGTCAGCCTTGTCTAGAGGCAGAGGACTGAGGGCGTACGCCTCAGGATGTTCTAGCACTCAAAGCCTAAGTCAGCAGAAGTGGAGGGAACGCTGGTGCTAGGTAGGATAATTGATGTGTCCTTAAAATGCTGCAATAGCCTACATGGAAGAGCTGTAGCAGAGAATCAGGCCTTCGGTAACTGGGCTAGTTCCTAGCGTGACAGGAGTGTGCAATGGTAGGTCAATGCCGTGATTAGCTAGCTTTGTCATTGCCTTACAAGTTCTAAGAATTCTTTGCTAGCATATGGAAACTGCAGTGTCCTTGGAGAAAAGAAGTGTTGTGCCTCCAACAGAAACCTCTGAGACGAAAGCTGCTCTCTTGGCTAGTTCATATGTGGAAATAGTCCTGTAATTCGAGGTAACTCCTTTTGCTCATGTCCGCATCCTTCCTCTTGTTGAGAGCTCATTTGAAAGTCTAATGTACCTGTGAAATATTCCTTTGACAATTTTGATCAACCGATGGAAAAATTTTAACCCATGCCGTACGCACCCTTTGGCTTGTGGCACAACTTCGGTTCCACAGATCAGAGTTGGGCATGCAGTCATGTCTTGCTCGTAGGTACGGAAGCAAGATGGGAAACGAATTCCCTGACTCGATATGTGTTCATCTATTGAGAATCTTCCTAGACTTCATTAAGTTGCTCACTTTAATTGTAGCTTTCTTTGCCATCCTACTTGTTGCCATTAACTTTTTCCCATAGCCCACACTTCCTAAGCAGCCATGTCAAAGTGGTTAACTCTCTGCTTAGGGATCCAAAGATACATGGCTGGTGTGTCAAAGGCATCAGCCGGCCCTGGAACAGTGTTCCCAGACTGTGCTTCTGTGATGTGATGGGTTCAGCGAATGGCTTGTGAACCCCTCGTATCCGATGTGACTTGTGCGGGGGGAGGCGGGTGGCGCTGCGAAGGCTCCGCTCGGCACCTCTGTTAATGCCCCTCTGCTTTGGCAGGCTGAAGAGCGGAGGGACTGCGCGGCCCGAGCGGGGATCCTGAGGAGGGCGAGGGCTCGTTGCGGGGAAGCAGGACCAAGGCGCGGGGTTGCCAACCAGGTAAGGTCTCCGCAGGCTGCCCCTCGCCCCTGGCGCTTTCCCTGAGCCGGGGGGGGTTTGGCTCTCGCTGTCCTGCTGCGCTGCAGGCGGTGAAGTCTGACCGGTGGTTTTGGGGTGAAAATACCCGTAGACTTTCTCTGCCTCTAAATTCACGGTCTTGATTTTATTTCAGCAATGAAATTCATCAGAGAAGACCAAGGACAGCCATTGACTGGAGTGGTGGTGATGAAGAGCTTTGAGCAGTGTTGTTACTGGTGTTTATAGAGGCCAACTGACCAAGGAAATGGGTCAAGCTAGAATAAAACACTGGCATGTGGAAAAAAAAAAAGAATCTCTGTAGTACTTTTGTGGGGAAACATAAGAGGGTTAGATCGTGGCCAAGGGGTACAATAGAAATCCAGTTACCTGGTGTGTCGCCCAGTTAAAAGGGCAAAATAAACCAGTGGGGTTCTGGTTGGAGAGGGTGGACAGAGAGGGTAACCTGCCTGTAAGGGCAGAGTTGGGGAAGAAGCTAAATTGCATCATGGTAACCTTGAATTAAGTGGTCTAATTACCTTAAGTTTGTGCATCTGCAGAACTTGAGTAGTGAAGCAGCTGCCTCTGAGGGGAGCTGTTGGGTGAGCAGTTGCACGAACAAGGAGTCGGTGTTTGTGCAGAACAGGAGCTGCTGCTGCTGCCAGTTGAAGTGGCAAATACAAAAGTCTAATTTGCATTTAAATGCTAAAGCTTTTTTCAGCTTGGGTCGTGACCGGTTCTTTCTGTACACGTTAGTAATTAAAATGGTGTTGCTGATGGAAGTTGGGGTTTCATGTCCAGGAATTTTCTAGTAGGGCAACTTCATCAGGTGAGAGCTGTTTGGTGTTTGGAGAGAAGTGGAACAAGGCAAGTGTTGGGGCAGTGCTGAGCCAAGCGGCTTCTGAGTGCTGCCCTGAGAGGCTTCGGGAGGGGGGTGAGGCTGTTCAGACTTTAAAAAAAAAAAAAAAAAGAAAAAAGGCTGGTGAGATGGTGGGAGTAGGATAGTGACTGGTTTTGCTGACCTGATGAGTGCCCTGTACAGATGGCAGAGTGCTGGAGAGGCCGATGGACGTGAGGCAGCCAGGGGGTTTGTTTCTGCTGGTGCCTGCTGCTCCTGCCCGCCCTTTTTGTGTTAACGCAGCCGATGGATTTGTCCTGCTCCCCTCTCCCTTTTTCATACTGATACTTCTCTGGCCTCTGGTCAGGCCATGCCCCACTTGAAGGACAGTCTTTTAGGAGCGGTGTAATACGCAGGAAACAAAAGTCTGCTCGTGCAGCCCGAGTGCCTTTGAAGAAATTCGGTGGATATTGCGCCCAGTAGCGCGTGCTGCTGCGGCGTGTTCCAAGGGCAGAAGTGATGGCGCGTTCTCCAGTCCACACTGTGAGGCCTGGCTGCCAAGGAGGCTGTGGTGGCTTGTCAGCCCACGAGACATAGCCGCTGTCCCCAGCCTTGTGCTTGTGGTGGCTTGAATCAGCTCTCCCGAGCAGAGAGGTGTGATGGAGGCCGGACACTTGGCGGGTATAAATGAGCTAAATTAATAGCTAAAGCCAGCTGTAAAAATGTGTGCTCTTAGTAAGAAATAGTTTTCTCTTGCTGGGGAGTCCCAGGTGCCAAGGAATTCAGTCGGGCAGCAAGCAGGGTGCCTGCTCCCCAGGGCTTGGTGCCCAAGAGCCATCACCATGTCCCCGTGCAGCAACGAGAGCCCTGGGGGGCATTCGTGCTTGCGGAATGGGAATGATGATCAAGCTTACTTCCTGAAACCTACTTTTTCTTCCTTTTTTAAACTTTTTCAAATTACCAAAGCGAACAGGGCTTAAAAAAAGAAATCACCTGACACCTTTTGGGGGGCTGTATCTAGCGATTCACCAGTGAGGATTTTTGCATGGTTATGGAGGATGATATTAAATACAGGGGCATGAGAGGGTGAGGAACCTTTGCTGATAGAAACGCAGCTGGGTGATGTTGCAACGAATTCAAACCGTAAATACTTACAAAGCATTATTTGAAAGACCTTCCTAAATAGGATGCCTAGATGCTTAAATGCAGGCAGAAATAATTAATAGGTGCAAAAATAGAGGCCTAGTTTGCAGTGCTGTTATTTCAGCATTGCTAATTATGATGCTGCATTAATGATTTGTTGAGGGAACAGCTAGCTGCGGGGGCTGGGTGCAAAACCCAGCTGCATCCTCGGGAAGGTGCTCTGGGGCGGTGGACCTGACATGGCATCTGCTGGGGGGGGAACCCATTTCCAGCCAAAAAGGTCTTTTCTTCAAGCCTGGGCAGCTCCGGGCCCTTCATGGAGATGACAGCTTGTGGGGTGGGGAGCGGACCTGGGCTTCAGGGTGGCTGCCAAACCCCCTGGGGTCTGTCCGGAGCTCCTGTGGAGAAACAAGGCGGTTGTTAGAAATGCTCAAAATGCTCGTGTTTCAAGCACTGCTCACCTCTGGCTGGGAAATCGCCTTGGTGGCAGGGGAACAGCAGCCCTGAGGGGGGAAATGGTGACCCTGAGGGGAAAACAGCGGCCTTGAGGGAGGGAGTC